AAAGATGTTGCACGCCATGCCCAGGGGCAGGAAGTCCGGGAGCTGATTGCGGCTACGGAGCCTTCAAGCATCCACTAGGACTTTTTTCCGTTTAGCCTGCTTTTGCGCAAAATGTCTTATTTGCCTGTCTACACTGGCCCTTTTGCGCAATAACATTTCCGCAAGAGGGCTTTTTCCCGAACCAGAGCGTCAAGGCATTTGTTCAAGAAGCGCTGATTTCGGACAGTAGAACGTCAGTGCTGTTGCGCAAAATCAAGTGGACAGAGTAGACAGCTGGCAAAATCTCGCCAGTCTAGATGCACCCCAGGGCTGTGTTTAGATTGGCCAATTTTTCCAGAAAATCAGCCGCTTTTCTGGAAAAACTTGCTAGCTGTCTACACTGGCTGCTTGAATTTCCGCAAAAGCACTGACTTCCTACTGTAAGAAATCAGTGCTTTTTGCGGAAATACTATGCTGCTCCCGTTCAGGCAGAAATCCCTTTTGTGCAAAACTTTTGCACAAAAGGGTCAGTGTAGACAGCTAAGATTTGTTTTCCGCAAAAAAGTCCCGATCACGAAAATGGCGATCAGGGCTTTTTTGCGGAAAAGCGCATCTAGATTGGCCACGGATGCTTTTCCGCAAAAAGTGCTTTTGCAGAAAAGCATCCTTACCAATCTAGACGCTCTGTTCCGAAAATGCTTTTAACGGAAAACTTTTCCATTAAAAACATTTCCGGAAAAACATGCCAATCTAGACATAACCCCAGCAGTATAGCTTGAGGCTCCTCACAGTACACAGTGATTTCTGCTCATAGTAGGTTTCAGCTCTTCAGCAATTTCAACAGTATAGCTGCAGGCTCCCCACAGCACACAGTGATTTCAGCTCTTCAGCTCATAGTAGAGGACCCTCAGTGCTAGTGCTAGTCAGCTCAGCAGCTTGCAACCAGACTCCTAATGGAATCCAAATTAGCTCTGATATTCCACAGTAGAGAGGAGGGGGTTCAATTGATGTTGTTTTTAGGCCCTCAGACAGGGCCCCATAACTAGATACAAATATCTGCCCCCAGCCTCTCTCAGCTTGACTGGGTTTAGAACCCATGCCCCTTGTCTAGTGAGTGCTACTTAGTTTATGGTGTCATAAAACAGTTCCACTATTCCACTGTCCTTGATTCACATAATCAAGGTAACAACACTTTATCCCCCCCCCCCCCGCCTCAATAACAGAGACACTGGGGATCCCACAGTGGCCAAAGTGACCATTTGAGCTGCTGTGAGCACATAGTAGGCGGGGTGGGTGTGCCTATGCAAACGAGATCAGCCCCTAAAGTCTTTTTGCACCACTCACCACAATTCACCACCAGATGTCAGGGTAGAGCTTATCCTGTCATATAGGCTACATCTACACTGGCAGCTTCTTGCGCAATAATTCTTTTGAGGAAGATTTCTTGTGCAAAAACTCTTCCAGAAGAGATGTGCTTCACTGGCATGTGCTTTTGTGCAAGAGATGTGCTTTTGTACAGGAGCATCCATGCCAATATAGATGCTCTCTTGCGCAAGAAAGCTCTGATGGCCATTTTAACCATAGGACTTTCTTGCACAAGAAATTCATGTTGCCTGTCTACACTGGCCTCTTGTGCAAGAACAGTTGTGCAAGAGGGCTTATTCCTGAGCGGGAGTATCATAGTTGTTGCGCAAGAAGCCCTGATTTTATACAGTAGAACGTCAGTTTACTTGCACAAAAACACACGGCCAGTGTAGACAGGCAGCAAGTTTGCGCAAGAGCGGCCACTTTGGCGCAAGATCGTGCCAGTGTAGACACAGCCATACATGGTGAGGTAAGCCAGATGTCATGTGATGCTAAGTATCTCCATTGCCATTTAAAATCTTAATTCAAGTAATCTCTTATGCAGTATAACAGCAAAATGCTTAACTTTCCTTCATCTTCACAGCCATTTCTAAAGAAATTGTATGTTTTTTCTATCCTCCAGGCAATTGCATGCAACTGTTTTGAAAAATGCATACAAAAATGACTCTCCTCTCCTCCCTGCTTAAATCAGAAGCAACACCACTGAAGTCAAAGAGCTACAATGATGTGCAGGGAGAATAAGCTGCTCCCATTTTGATTCCTCTTTGCACAGCAAAATAAGTCTGGAAAAGAAAAATGCAACAATAATGAAGGAACTTACTTTACTAGCTGACAAAGTGCATGTAGACCCTCCTGGAGAGATGAAGGACAGCTGCCTCTGAAGCCACAATAGTTCCTTCTGAGACTGTTTTAATAACTCCTCCATATCACTTGGCTTCTGACCCATCAGTCCTTCCTGAGTGACAAAAATATACTTCAATAGCTGTTTTTTAAATGTACAGTGATAGCAACATGCAAAAGTCATCACTGGATTCCTAGGTAAACAATAACGTCTGCCAGAATGAAGTGCTTATATTTATGAAATATCAAAGATCAGTAAACCAAGAGGTAACATTTTCTATTGCATCACACTTGTATAGATTTTGATATTGTAGGCAGTCTTGTACCTGGATAGCACCCACATAAGTATAAAGATCGTGCAATAGAAATAATTCAGAAAGAACAGAAGATTGGAATTTCTTTGTCCTTAATTTAGAATTGACCATACAACAGACTTCTGCCATCTAAACACTGGATACATTGTTTAGGGCATAAGAAACTCCAAATCCTAGGCTATGTCTACACTTGCGGCTTCTTGCACAACTACGGCCGTTCTTATGCAAGAATCCGCAGAGCATCCACACTGCCTGCCTGCTCATGCGCAAGGAAATTTACAGTAGTGCGTGGTAAGAGAGGGTGTCTTGCACAAGAGCTACGCTCTTTTTTAACAGGTGTAAGCCCTCTTGCGCAGGAGCTCTTGCACAAGAGGGCAGTGTGGACGCTTGTCAGGGATTTCTTGTGCAAGAAAGCCCTATGGCTAAAATGGCCATCAGAGCTTTCTTGCACAAAAGAGTGTCCACACTGCCATGGGCAAGCAGCTGCCAGTGTAGACATAGCCCTAATGTTCTTCTAATGCATTCTACTTCAAAGATAGTGCAATTGTTAGGGTTACTAATTCCTAAGGTTAGGAATTGTAGTTCCTGTACACAGAAAGAAATCATTCAAGAGCTAGTTATTAGGTTAGGGTATGTCTACACTACCACCCTAGTTCTAACTAGGGTGGTAATGTAGTCAACCAGAGTTGCAAATGAAGCCCGGGATTTGAATTTCCCAGGCTTCATTTGCATGTTGCCGGGCGCCGCCATTTTTAAAGGTCCGCTAGTTCGGACTCCGTGCCCCGCGGCTACACGCGGCACGAACTAGGTAGTTCGGACTAGGCTTCCTATTCCGAACTACCATTACTTCTCATTCCACGAGGAACGAGGAGTAACGGTAGTTCGGAATAGGAAGCCTAGTCCGAACTACCTAGTTCGTGCCGCATGTACATGTTGCCGGGCGCCGCCATTTTTAAAGGTCCGCTAGTTCGGACTCCGTGCCCCGCGGCTACACGCGGCACGAACTAGGTAGTTCGGACTAGGCTTCCTATTCCGAACTACCATTACTTCTCATTCCACGAGGAACGAGGAGTAACGGTAGTTCGGAATAGGAAGCCTAGTCCGAACTACCTAGTTCGTGCCGCATGTAGCCGCGGGGCACGGAGTCCGAACTAGCGGACCTTTAAAAATGGCGGCGCCTGGCAACATGCAAATGAAGCCCGGGAAATTCAAATCCCGGGCTTCATTTGCAACTCCGGTTGACTACATTACCACCCTAGTTCGAACTAGGGTGGTAGTGTAGACATACCCTTAGAGTGCAAAGCTTTAATAAAGGTGTGGTCCAGTATAATAATGCAAAATGAGATAGAAGGCTGTGATAAAAAATTCAGACAGAAAACAAGATGGCTGCCACAGCTTCTGAACCTATTGTGAAGGATAGCTCATTACTCAGTGCATTGTGGGTATAAAGACATGAATGATTTTACAAGAGATTAAAAATCCTGGCAAAGCAGGATAAAAAACAATGTTGAATATGTATTAGCTGCAGGTTTTTCTGCCCCAATGTTTGATATGAGAGCCAGGATTTAAAATTACAGAAATACCAATCAGGCTATTAATCTAGAGTACATCCATTAGCATAAATCTGAACTCAGGGTCAATCCAGATCATTGTGAATTCAAGCTCAAATTGGTATCCAACTTTGATTTATCTTGTAAATATTTATTGTGCGTGGGCTCCTGTCTTTTGCTGCACTTCCTTAAGTTAACCATAGAATTGCAGACAATATTATAACTCACTCTCTATTTAATGACAAAATAGTATCTGGACTACCTCAAAGTTTTGATACATGCTTAGACTGTCATCTCCAACAAATGAGGGCTCTTAGCTGGCAGATGTGAGGATTAGATTTCCAAAATCAGAGCATACTAAAAAAAAACAGTGGACAAAATATAGACATTTCTCCCTCTCTAAAATTGTGGCAGTGCATTTGCTTTAGTTCTGCTAAAGAGATTCCAGCTCAAGGCTGCCAACAGGGAAAGCAAAGGGGGCAGTTGCCCTAGGGACTGGTGATTCAAAGGAGCCTAGTGCTCCCAGCCACTACTGCTGCTACCGTGGCACCATCTGGAGCCCTGGGCCCTTTAAATCGCTACCAGAGCGCAGTCCCACGCACTCCATAAGGTTCTGAGGCCTGCGAGGGGGCTCCAGATGGCACTAAGAACTGGCTGCCCCAGCCCTGCTCCTTTCCCCTGAGGCCCTGTCACTTCTAGGAGTGTGGAGTCACTTTCCCCTCATACAGACCTTCTGCAGGGGCCCACAGAGGCTGTCAACTACCCTATTCCAGCTTGTAGAATCAGAAACAGTCAAAGCATGGACGGCTACATTAGGGAGGGAGTAAAATTATGGCACCCCTCAGGCTACCTCTTCCTTGCACCTCTCTGAACCTAAAAATATGTATGGAAGCCCCTCCTTACAGGGCACAAAGACTCTTGTAGTGCCTCCTCTTCTTCTTTACCATATGGCTTTGGGAAATAAAGAGAAACCAATCAGAGACTTCAGGCAGTAGGAATAGGAGTAGCTGAAGCAGGGACATTTGGACATTCCAGCACAACCACAGAATTCTCTGCCCTGTGCTGATTGTGTGCTCCAATCCCCACCCCCTCACACTCAGTTGCTTCACCCCAGCTTCATTCCACTTGTCCCACCCTGGTGAACTCCTTTCCCTTCACTGATTCCACCCCAAGTCAATCCATCCACTCATCAAAAATACTGCAGAGCAAACATCATCATCATCTTGTTCACCCCCCTAGTGTGTTAGACACACACATACCCCTCATTCCCATACTGTGTGTGTCTTGTCTATTTAGATGGCATTTCCTTGTACTCTCCCGTCTGCCAGTATCCACAGAATCACAGAATTGGAAGGGATCTTGAGAGGTCATCGAGTCCAGTCTCCTTCCCTCACAACACGACCAACCACTGTCTAGATCAGTGGTGTGCAACCTTTTTACATCTGTGACCCCGCCATTTTGTGGCACTTAGATCTGGGTGGCTGGGCCTGGGCCTGGCCGTTAGTGGCCGTGTGGCGCAGAGACCCCCAGAAAGACATCCACGACCCCCTTGGGGGGGGGAATCAATCCAGGGATTGTGCACCCCTGGTCTAGATCATCCCTGACAGATGTCTATCCAACCTGCACTTAAATATCTCCATTGATGGAGATTCTACAACCTCCCTCGGCAATTTATTCCAGTGTTTAACAAGCCTGACAGGAAGTTTTTCCTAATGTCCAACCTAAACCTTCCTTGCAGCTATTTAAGCCCGTTGCTTCTTATCCTACCATCAGAGGCCAAGGAGAACAATTTTTCTCCCTCATCCTTGGAACATCCTTTTAGATACTTGAAAAATGCAATCATGTCCCCCCTTAGATTTCTCTTTTCTAAAATAAATAAGCCCAATTCTTTCAGTCTTCCCTCAGAGGTCAGGCTTTCTGTGCCTTTAATCATCCTCATTGCTCTTCTCTGGACCCTCTCCAATCTCTCCACATCTTTCTTGAAATGCGGTGCCCAGAACTGGACACAATACCCGAACTGGGAACTACAAGGTGCAGAGTAGAGTAGAAGAATGACTTCTTGTGTCTTGCTCACAACACTTCTATTAATGTATCCCAAAATTACGTTTGCTTTTTTTGCAACAGTGTCACACTGTTGACTCATGTTTAACTTGGGGTCCACTATGACCCCTAAATCTCTTTCAGCAACACTCCTTCCTAGATAGTCGCTTCCCCTTCAGTATGTGTGAGACTGATTGTTCCTTCCTAAATAGGGGTATGTCTACACTACAAAGTTAATTCGAACTAGTAGCCGTTAGTTCGAATTAACTTTAATAGGCGCTACACATACAAACTGCTAGTTTGAACTTAATTCAAACTAGCGGAGCACTTAATTCGAACTAGGTAAACCTCATTCTACGGGGACTAACGCCTGGTTCGAATTAAGTAGTTCAAATTAAGGGCTGTGTAGCCACTTAATTCGAACTAGTGGGAGGCTAGCCCTTCCCAGGTTGCCCTGGTGGCAATAAGTTTCTGGACTGCATTGGAGACAACTTTCTGTTTCAGAAGGTTGAAAAAGCTACCAGAGGAGAAGCTGTTCTGGATTTGATTTTAACAAATAGGGAGGAACTAGTTGAGAACTTGAAAGTGGAAGACAGTATAGGGGACAGTGATCA